TTACTTTCCTCCAATAAAAAAAATATATTTTTCATAATTTCTCAATATAATAATATAATAATTTAATTTAATTAAATATAATTAATATAATAATTTAATTTAATTAAATATAATTAATATAATATAATTTTATTTAATTTCGTATATATGTATGTTTTATATGAAAGTTGTTAAATGTAAGAAAAAATGTCAATATTATAATATAAAAAAACCTAAGGATAACAAAATCCGTTGCTGAGAGAAAATTGTAAATTTGCTGTAGTGCGGTTTTATGTATATATGAAGTACGACATTTTAAAATGAATAGCATAATAATTGTGATAGATAGAAGAAAAGAAACAATAATTCAAATTTTTTTCTCTCTTTTCGCCCTCGATCCACTCATAAAGGCACGTGGTTTCACATAACCTAATTATATCAAACCCTAAGTGATTTCATTTCCCTTAATAGTCTCTTCTCATTTTCATAAATGTAGCCTTTCTCTTGGGACCGTCAGTGCATGTTTAGATTTCTATTTATATGATTATATTCTATTTTTGTATATAGCTAAATTATTACATTTAGATTCTTTATATCTCTTTGATATACATAAAACTAGCAAAAAATAGCGTATATACTGAAGCTATTCCATTATGCTCATAATTTTCATATTATGAATGGAATGTTATTCATGGCAAGTAATTTTTTCAGAAAATATTAACAATTTACGTAAATTTACTTCAATAAGTATTAAAATTTAGTGTTTTCTTATTAACTTTCAACTGAAAAAACAAACTAACAAATTATTTTTTCAAAATCGGACTAGACAAAGTCCTTCAAAATATTTATTAAAAGATTTTTTCTGTAATGATATATGATTTGTAATTGTTACGGAATTAGCTCGAAAGTAAGTATATTGTAACTCAAAAAATAAGTATAAAATATAAGTTTATAAAATAAGAATTTAGAAAATAACAAAGAATAAAGAATAAAATTGTAAATGTATATATAAACTTAATATTTTGCAAGAATAATAAAAGATTACCTATACGGAAGATGCCTTGGGCGCCAGTCCTTTCTTAGGACACGAATAAAAAAGAAAGAAAGAAAATTGAGAATTAAATATAAATTAATTATCAATAAACAAGGCCACCAAGCTAATTACCAATCAATTAATCACAAAATAAAAATCCCTCAATGGAAAATGGTAGATATAGGGTTATTTAACCAAATAAACAAATATTCAAAATATTTAGAAAATTAAATCAAGAAAAATTTAACAATAAGAAATCAACAATTTATTCAATAAATTAAGAGATACATAGGATTTTTAGGATTTTGACAATATCAATCCCTGACAAATTTATAAAATCGCAGTTTTCAAGCAAGTTTGCTCAAGAATTGCTTAGAACTGATTAGAAGACGATTTTTGGTGCAAATCAATAAAATATGATGAAATAAACTATTGCTAATAAAAGTAAATCGGTTTTTCAGTTGATTTGATCAAGAATGAAGTTAAATAATGGTTTAATTTAATATGTTTAATATAATGTGTAAAGTGAAGTGCTAACCTGACAGTTCAAGTGCGTGTTTCACATTTAATTTCGTATATATAAAAATGTATACGAATTAAAGGAAAATTTATTTATTTTGATTTAATTATTAACTAAAGTAAATAATTCTAATAATTATGAACGTGATTATTATAATACTAGCTGTCGTACCCGTCTTCGACGGGTTTTAGTTTCTACCAATACATTTAAGTTTCTACCAATCTGGAAAATCAGGAAATAGCTAGGGAATTTAATTTGACCGGAAAAAAATAATAATTAGTTACCATTATAGCTATTTTAGTAGGAAAATATTACTATTTGAATCAGTGATTGACTTTTTATTATCAAATTAGTTATTTTAACCAATTCAAATGCAGAGAACAATATTTATCAATTTGTAGTACTTTAATTAATGTATTAAAAAAATTAAATTTTCCATACAGTTTTTGGAGTTATAGTAGAGTCTAATTGGAACTAATTGTATCGCAAGTAGACCCTACGTTACGACTGCTAAAACCTAACATAAGACCTAAATTTTAGGCTGAAAGTAGGGCTTAAATTTTGACTCGGGTCTGTTTTCATAAATATTATACATCAATAAAAATTGAAGTAAAAAGCAATTTTTTAAAAGCGAATTAATATAATGAAACTTTTTCTTAATTTGATAGGAAAATTCCCGGTTCGGCATATTCCCAGCTTTTTACAGTTTTTCCCGTTTGGTAGATACCCAGTTAAATGTATTAGTATAAACAGAAAACTGTACGACAGCAAGTAATACAATCTATATTTATATGAACTTAAGAAACAGTATTTTCATAAAATAAGTAAATTTTTATAGCCATTTGTAGATTTATTTATGGATAAAATCAAGTAAATTTAAATTTGACAAAAAAGAGATAAACCGTGAAAAGTTTGGACAAAGCAGGGAATTTTGTTAAACAAAAATAGACACCGTGTTAACTTTTGTCTTTACATTGCTCAAAACATCTCTTAAAGTTAAATCTAGAGTTAAAATGAAAAAACGTTTTAACATGTAAGTTTTTGCCTAGTGGCATAATATGCTTGTATTGTATCACAGGTGACTTACAATTCTTGACATCCTGCGAAATCATTTTAATCATAAAAAATTTCCATTTTCAATATTTCTGAACTTCTTGAAAATATTAGATTGATTTGATAAATAATTTTGAATTGCACTATTTTGACATCAAAATATTAATCAGAGACTCCAAAAATACTACTGAATTATACTTCATATAGTAATTAGTATCGATTTTTTGATATATGGAAAATTTTTTTATATTTCTTGTAGGATAGTATTTTTTGCAAAATTATGATAAAATCTGACTAAATAACATATAATATTCATTTTTAGAAAGTTTAAAAGCTATCCATTAAAAATTGTGAAATTTGGAAATTTTCCATTTTTCAAGTTTTTGAAAATATTTTTATATTTACATCTTAGTTGTAGAATAGTATTTTTTGAAAAATTATGCTAAAATGTGACCAAATAACATGTAATACTCAAATATAGAAAGTTTAAAAGCAATCCATAAAAAAATGTAAAATTTTGAAATTTTCGATTTTTTGAAAACATTTTTATACTTACATATTAGTTATAGGACTTTATTTTTTGCAAAGTTATGCTATAATGTGACTAAATAACATATAATACTCAAGTATATAAACTTCAAAAGCAATCCATGAAAAATAAAAAATTTTGAAATTTTCGATTTTTTGAATTTTTTGAAAAAATTGAATATCTCCCGTTCTAATTAATATTTTTTAAATCTGTAAATTTATAAACCTTCCTTGGGTCAATACCTAATAACCTACCAAGTTGGACTTAAATCGATTCACATGTTTTTGTGTGATTGGGGTACAAAGTTTTTGTGACAGACAAACATACATACATACATACATACATACATACATACATACATACATTAAATTTTTTAAGAACATTTTTGGAATCTCTGATGTCCATAATAACTAATCATGTTAACATTTTGAAGTTTTAAGCAATGTACAGACAGACATCTGATTTTATTAATAAGGATATTTTAATTTAATACATTTTCGTATTGACAGATTGTGTGTATTTTGGTGTGCGATTTTACCAACAAAACACATAACTTTGTAGTTCGATTATAAGTTTTAGATGGCGTTAAATTATTTTTCAACAATTGGGAATTTAAATAAATGAAATTAAAATGATTGAAATCAAGTCTAAAAATTAAATTTTTATTAGTTTTAAAACAATAAAATAGATAAAAAAAGTATTTCTTTATAAATTCGAAACATTTCTGTTTATTTAAATTAATGCTTTAAATTAAATAAAGTGACATAGGGTCAAACCATTTTATTTCAACTAAAGTGGTCGCCGACTAATTTTAAAAAATTGTAATATTCTACAGGAATGATACTGATGTTACTAAAATCACAAAATAAGAAGATTTTTTAAAAATAATTTTATATCTTTTGTAAAATATGAATTTTAAATATGACCTAATTTTATAATCCCATTTCCTCATTATTTGTTAATAAAAATCCCAAAAATAGGTTAATTTAATGATGAACTTTGGAATAATATTTTATTTATTATTTTATATTTTTAAATGCTTATATCAATTTATAATAATAAATTTAGACATTCTAAACAAATGCCAATAATTTTGATTATATTTTTGTACTAAAATGTATTTCTTTTGAATTATTTTCTACTGTCCGAAAATTGACAGTTTTCAGCATTTCTAATATTTAAAATTCATGTTTTACAAAAGATATAAAATTATTTTTAAAAAATCTTCTTATTTTGTGATTTTAGTAACATCAGTATAATTCCTGCAGAATATTACAGTTTTTTAAAATTAGTCGGCGACCACTTTAGTTGAAATAAAATGGTTTGACCCCATAGTAAACCAATAATTATAATTAATTAATAATTAAATTATAATCTTTTTAAATGTTAAAAGAGGAGTTAGGTTTTGGTTTTCAGGAAAAAAATTACAACCAAGTCCATGTAGGATGAAAATGAATGTATTTATTCAATCCTTTAATTATTTAATAATACTTTTAATTATTATATTTAATGACAAAAATTGCTTTCGTAATAATCAAATCTTAAAAATATTTAAACTGTTTACATTTATGTACATTTTTCTAAAGATAATTTTTTACCAACATGAATAGAAAGTTGTATTTCTTTTTTTTGGCATCAAAATTTTCATATTATGCCTCCAAGTAAAATAAAAAATAAAAAATTGAATTACTATCTAAATTTAGCCGCTATTTCTTTTTTCAAAAAAAAATATCTCGATTTTCCCATCAAAAATGCAAATGATAATTATAAATTGCGGAGAAAAGAATGTAAAAAAACTTACACACAAGGTAAACAATTTTTCTCCTAAGGAATGTTTATAAAATACCTTTTTATATAAATTCATAAATTAATGCCTGATTCTCTTGAATTTGCTTAAAAAAATTGTCTTTTTATTGTCTGTTTTTTTTTTTTGAAAGAAAAAAGATTTCTAACTTGTTTCACATTATATGTCTCTTACTTAAAAAATATCCTGTTAAAAAGAAAATGAGAATCGGCCAAAAGTGTCAATTGCATAATAATGTAAAATTGAAATACGAAAGAATATTTTGATAGCTATATAAGTAAACGTTTCTTATTTCCAGCCAATTTTTGACATTACTTCTTCAACTTCTTGAAATATTTCTTCGGGCTTCTTCATTCCATCAAATTTATGAACGCAACCCTCACGATCGTAATGTTCAATAATTGGTACAGTGTCTATAACATAATTATCCAAGCGTTTTTTTAAACTTTCTAAATTATCATCACTACGTCCACTTCCTTCAGCTCCACGAGCTAAACAACGAGTCACGCACGTCTCATTATTGCAGTCAAAGTAGAAAACTCCTTTTAAATCTACTTTGTCCTCCATCGTCTAAAAAATTATTTAACATTATTATTCATTCACTAATAAAATGTATAATTTCTACATTACATAATATATATAATTCTTCTGTTCAAAATAAAAATCTTACGGCAAATGCGACTTACCTAGGTTTTTACTTTGAACAGGAGAATATTGCTTACCTTATTTTTGAAATTATCTAAATAATTTGTTCATCCTAAAATGAGAATAAATGTTGAAAAAAATTGAAAAAAATTTTTGTGAAATTTTCGAAGGCAAAAGCAGGCAAAAGTTTACATTAATTTTAAAAATATCAAAAGCAATATTTTCTGAGTTGTTAGAAATATATCCTTCCATAGTTTGTTAATGTTGATAATGTATATGATCTTGGGAAGGTAAGATTTGAATAAAAATTCAAAAGTGTGTCGTTAAAAGAGCGACGTTCCGTTGGCTAGGGTTTGCCAACCTCATCAGGCTAAAATTTATTAAATATAGATAAGTTACACTTCAGTATTTTTTTTTGTAAAGGTCTAAAAGCACTATTTCTATAAATTAACAATAATATATGATTATTTTCTCTAATGAGTGTCAATTTAAATTTTTATTCAAATCTTACCTTTCCAAGATCATATACATTATCAACATTAGCAATATTTTCTTTTTATAAATATAAACTAAACATACAATGATAATGTTCTAAAATTAAAAATACGTTAAGATTTTTCTTGTAATTTTTTAAATAGAAAACATCTAAATCTCTATATTTAAAAAATTGAACAAATAGAGGAATTTTTTTTCTAAACCGTAAACTCCGTATAACCTAATTTTTATTATTTTCCTATATATATAATAATGATGGGTATTAAGTCATAAATTATGACACTAACATCTTCTTATCAAATAAGTTCAAGATTTTTAATTATACTCATGACACGTGAACGAGAAATCAACTTCAAAGTTACAAATATCTATTTATTCTTTTATTTTGAAAAATATAAATTAAATGACATAGTTTCTAATTGAATTTTAATTTATTTTAACTATTTTCGTTTTTAATTTTGTATATTTTATATTTTAATTTTAATATTATTATTTATTACATCGCATTACCATATTTTATTAATTATCTTCTAGAAACTTGAAAAGAAGTTTTTATATAAAAAAAGACGAAAATTTAAAAAATTTAAATATTTTCTGAATCAAAAAATTTCTAGTGAAAAAAGGCACTTTATTAAGTAAGAAAGTTAAATAAGATAAAAATTACTTTTAGAAATTTAAAAATGAAAAGAATAAAATTTCACGCAAATTATTAAAATTATTCTTGTCATTATTGTAAAAAAGTTATTCGAGAATAGGTGAATATTAATGAATCATAGTTAACAGATAAAATTCGTGTAAAGGGAAAAAAATGTATTTCTTTGAATTTTGAAAACGTAAATTATTTAAACAATAATTAAAATAAGAAGCAGGTAAGTATTAATTATTATTCATAAATTATCGTCAATTAAATATTATTGTCAACTCACCTTAGTCCAGCCTTGCAGATTATCAGCATTTCTTGGAAATCCATCAATGAGAAATCTCTTGTGTTCATTATCAGAAATTTGCATGGCACGATCCAATAGACTACATGTTATTTCAACGGGAACAATTGTACCGTTTTTTATATGATTTTCAATTAAATCGCCAAATTCTGAGCCTGGTTTTACACGCTCCTCACGTAAAAGATCACCGGCTGACAGATGAACATAACCGTACTTATTGACAATGTGTTCGCATTGCGTTCCCTTACCAGCTCCAGGCCTACCCAAAATGAATACAACTTCAGGCTTTTTCGAAATTGACATCGTTAAATTTCTTACAGCAAACTGACAAAACTTAAACATAAAAGTTTAACACGCACTTTGCACTATTTATGCAGCACACAAAGCTTTGACTCAGATAGGTTGTAAAGTTTCATGAAACTTTGGAAAATGAAATGTTTCATGAAAGTTTCATTGCTTCATGAAACATTTCAAAGTTTCAAGTTTTAAGCGGGAAATTTCAAATTCAATGCAAGAAAGTATAATAATTAACGCATATTTTGTTGTCAAAAACATGAAGTATTATTACTTACTTTAATATCTTTCTTTAATTTTTATAAATAAAATAAATAATTAAAAAATATATTAATAATTTAATTTTAAGTCACTCGTTAGAGGTAATATTTCAGGTAATTTTTAGTTAATATTAACATAACTACTCTCGTGTTTTCGGATGTAAACAAAAAATTTTCATTAAATTGTTTCGAACTAACCTAAAATTTCTAGAGATTATCTAACCTAAACTGACAACTGCGCATGTGCAAATAAAGCTTAATTATTGGTTCTTCAATGTTTCATGAAATTAATGAAACTTTCGCTTATGAAACATTGAAACTTTCAAATGAAAGTTTCATTGTTTCAATGAAACGTTTCATCACTCACAACCCTACTCAGATCAATTAATAAATAGGCTTTTGTGTATATGCAAGCGTATTAATTACAGGGTTGCCAAGTTCTAATGAGTAACTTTACGCTCAGACTGCCAGGGTTGGGGAATGACGCCTTCCTCTCGGACGAACGTGTCGCACTTGTGTATGTTGCCATGGAAACACATGAGTGCGACACGTTTGTCCGAGGAAGGCATTCCTGTGTACACCCAAATGCATATATGCTGTCCAGTGTCCTTCCAAAATACAACAAGTAGATTAAATAACTGAATATTCTCTATAAAATATAGAAAATAGATTTTAGAATAAAAAAAATAGAATTTTTAAGTAATGGGATTTAAAATCCAATTTACCACATATAAATGTTAACCCCTTCGCAGTTTGGAAAAATAATTATATGATTGGCCCATAATGTAAACATAATTGACGTGACGTATATTACGTACCCAACAACGTAACTAGCAATTTGGCAACTGTGAATCCGACTTAATAGTTATTATGTTTTTTTTTTATTTTGAAGACTGCGTGCTGCTTCCCATCCCTTTGAAAGTAGAAAAGTGGCGGGTGGTATCAGCTGGAAATTGCAAAAAAAGAATATAAATTACAACATAACCTTGAATAGATTCATTTTTCATAAAAATTATGTAATAAGAACATTTATAAATCATTACTTTTTCTTTTGTATGAATAGAGAAAATTGTCATTGATTTCTGTAAGTAATACAAATCACATGATATTACTCTTTATACGTATATAGTACACAAATACATTTACTTTAATTTTAAGGTTAGAACGTGATAAAAAAATATATTTTAAATTCTTGCCTATCCGAACTGTAAATAATAATTTTATCTGCCTTCTATTATAGTTTATTTTTTAAATTATATTTAAACTGTAAAGTAATTTCTACTGAATAATCTTATCAATAAATGTTAAAATTTTACTTTAGAAAATTCCATACTGCTCGGATTTTAAGCGGCTATCTGTAAATCGATTGGCGGCCAATTTTTAAATAATTATGTTTATTGAAAATAATATTTGTATTTAATTTTTTTAAATTAAAAATTAATTCCTGAAAAACGAACAAAAGTGTTCTTTATTTAAAATTTTAAATTAAGATATTTTTCTTTTTAAAACATTTTTCAACAATGATTAATTTTCTCTTGTATCTGAATTCTTGTTTTTCAAGGTCAAAAATCTAATTAATACTGGTTAATGATGTTTTATAACATTTTCATCATTATACGATGTTAGATCAAAATTTATATTTAATTTAATTAAATTAAATAATTAAATTTATATTTAATTTATATTTATTATTTTTTTATTGAATAAAATTAATGAAGTTTACCTTAAAATTAAATGGGTTTTAAACAATAAATTTCTTAATTTTTACATTTTACATTTTTACATTTTTTACTTTAGCTTCTTTTCTACTTTTAATAAATATTCTTAAAGTAAAGGATATAATAAATTTTGTCTTATAAACAAAAGAAATATTTTAAAAGTCAAATTAATAAACTTAAATTTTCTATTCAGTGTTAATTTTTATTTTTTTGATTGCAGACTCGAAATGAGAAGAATCATCATGTTAGGAAAATGTATAAATTTCACGTGTACAACTTTCATTCGCACGAAACATTCTAGTCATAAATTTAATTTATGTACAACAAATCTTTGTGCCTGTAAACGATTGTTGCATTGTTCTACAGTTAATTTAGAACATTTTCAAAAAAATAATAATTTCAAGAAGGAGGATGTTAATAGACAGTCAAAATTATTAAGTAGCAATCAAACAGAATTTCCAAGTCAGAAACGAAATATGGGAATTGCTGAAAAATTTGTAAATAATTTATCACCTAAAATTCAACCCTACATGAAGTTAATGAGGATAGAAAAGCCAATAGGTAAAAAAAAGTGTTAAATTTTTTTTTGCTTTCAAGTATTTCCTAAAGAAGCTATAATCGATTAATTTTATGTATTTTGAGTAACAAGTTTTTTTCTAAAATAGGTTCCTGGCTACTATTTTGGCCTTGCGGTTGGAGTATAGCAATGGCAGCACCAGCAGGATCTCTACCTGATCTAAAAATGCTAGCACTCTTTGGATTGGGCAGTGTTATTATGCGTGGTGCTGGATGTACAATTAACGATATGTGGGATCAGGATATCGATAAAAAGGTACAATATTGATTTCAAACTTTGGACTTATCAGCTTTAAGGAATTCAAGGAAAAGTCAGGGATTTTTAGTAAAAGTACTGGAAAAAAATGAATTTTTAAAATTCATAAGAAAATTCAGAATTTTGATGTTTTTCTTGTAAGCCTTCATAAACTATGAAATTACTACGAATTCTAATACGAAACCTTCAATTTTTTCTATTTCTGACAATAATTTCTTTTTAAATAACTTAATTTTTCAAGAACTATCATAAAATTATGACTTACAAATTATTTAATAAATAATTTTACTTAAATATATCTAAATTAATTGAATTTTACAAGAATTGCGTTTTCAATTTTCATCAACAGATCACAGGAAATAAAATTTTAAAAATTTCAACTTCTGAAATTTAATAATTTCTAAAAATTAAAACTATAATCCTTTTAAAAATTTAATTATTTTCTACAATTTTTAACTAAACTTCATTTCTAAGTCAATTATTTATATTAATTTTTAATGATTTTCCGAAAGTTCTTTGAGAATTCAATTATTTAAATACAAAAATTCAATTTTTTATAATAATTGATACCGTCCATTTTTCAAAGATATTAAAGTAGAATATTTTCAAAAAATTTTAATAAAGAAATTCACAAAATTAACTTTTTAAATTTTTTTCTGAAATTAAATTATTTTCAAAAATTTGTCTCAATCAATGATTTTCAGTAATTTACTATTATAATAAAATTGTCCAAAAGAATTGAATTTATTTTTAAAAAAATTTAATAATTAAAGTTCTACGGAAACCTTTAGTTAATTTTCTAAAATAATAAAAATTTCACAGGAATTGAATTATTTACAAATTTTTTTTAATAAATTTCTTCGCAATCATTCAATTATTCTCATAAATAATAAAATTTTTACAGGGATTCAATTATTTTCGTAAAATAATGAAATTCTTTTTAGGAATTTAATTATTTCATAAATATAATAAAAATCATTGAAGAATTTTAATTATTTTTAATGCAATTTTTAATCAAACTCCTCGAAAAAATGTAATTATTCTTAAAAATTTTATTAAAATTTCAAATTCGCCAAAAAAATTCAATTATTTAAAAATTTATGCGAATAACATTTTTTATGAGAATTCAATTTTTTTTTTTATTTAAATAATTGATATTCTTGTAGCATTTTCTAATAAAAATTGATATTCATTTAATAAAAATGAATTTTTAAAATTTTAGATAATAATTGAATATTAAAAGTAATGTAGCGTGAATTTTTAGAAATAATTGTATTTTGAAAAGACTTTAAATTAGTTTTTGGAAATCTCAATTTATCACACTTTTAACTACTTAACAATTTTGAAGAATTTATTTTTTTTTTTTGAAGTCATTTGAAGTCTTCATTTTCTTATAATATATTCAATTCAAGAATTTTCGAATAATCGATCGATTTATGAAAATATTTGAATTCTTGCAACGAATTTTATTACGTATTTTTATTTTAAATAATTGAATTCTTTTGAGAAATTTTACTACTACTTTTATAAATAATTGAATTCTTGGGAAGGAATATTTTATTACGATTTTTGTAAATAATAAAATTTTTTTTTTTGAAAAAATTTTATGGATATTTAAATTACCGTAAAACATGAAGATATCACTCCGAGTCGAAGACTTGGAGTGATCGATATCTTCATGTTTTACAACAAAAATTTTTATAAGTTGTTAATTTCAAAAGGTTCGAATTTAAAATTTTTTAAAATCTTCATTTTTATGGAAAAATAATGATTAAATGTTTATTTAAAATAGAAGTTATAAATGTATTTGAATAATTTTATAATTAAAGAAATTTTTAATTGTAATAGAACATTTTTTTAAGTATCTAATAATTTTTTTTTTCCAATAATTTTTTAGGGTCAAGGAAAAACAAAATTAAATTTTTGTTATAAATAGTTATTTTTGTTATAAATCATAAATCTTGTTTCTATTTAAATTACAAAAAAAATTTAAACTCTTAGGTAAGTAGAACGCGGTCCAGACCTCTTGCTGCTGGAGATGTAACACCGTTCCAGGCGCTAGTGTTTCTCGGCGGACAATTAAGTTTAGGACTTTTAATTTTATTGCAACTGAACTGGTACAGTATTCTTCTCGGTGCAAGTTCACTGGGTAAGTAGAAACAAATAATGAATTAATTGAATTAATAAACTAAATAAATTAAAGCTATATATTTAAAATTACTAACCAGGGTTAATTTTATACTATTACATCAGTAATTAATGGTGAATTTATAAAGTTTCTAATTTTTCAGGTTTAGTGATAATTTATCCTCTAATGAAGAGAGTAACATATTGGCCACAATTTATATTGGGAATGACTTTTAATTGGGGTGCATTGCTTGGATGGTCAGCAATTCATGGCACTTGCGATTGGTCCGTTTGTTTACCGCTCTATATATCAGGAATTTGTTGGACAATATTGTACGATACAATTTATGCTCATCAGGATAAATACGATGATTTACTTGTTGGCATTAAATCGACAGCTCTTAAATTTGGTAGAAAGACAAAATTATATTTATCCGCTTTTGGAGCAAGTATGATTGGTGGATTAATAACATCCGGCGTAATTATTGATCAGACATTGCCATATTATGTTTCCGTAGGATTAGTCGGCAGTCATATTGCTCATCAGGTAAGGAAAAAGAAACAATTTTTTTATTCCTTTTTACCATGGTAATTTTTAAAATTCGTTTTTTTAATTTTTTTCAAAAATTTAAAAAAAAATTTTTAAAGTATTTAAATATTCTAAATTGTTTCAGATTTACACGTTGGACATTGATAATCCAAATGACTGCGCAAAGAAATTTATATCAAATCACAGTGTGGGAATGTTTCTCTTCTTTGGTATTGTTTTAGGTAATTTATTAAAAAATTATTCAAACAAAAATAATAATAACAATAACGTGAATGATAGTCAGAGTAAAAAAAATCCTAAAGATTTTAATCATAATCAATTGTCGTTAGTCGCTAATTAATAGATTCGTTCTTGCAAAATAGAATATTTTATTTTAACAAAAATTTTGTATAGAATGTTGTATAAAGCGAAAAGCGAACAATTGTTTGCTTGAGGGAAACCAAAGAATGTAATTGTCAAGTTGAAGAAGAAAAACTGAGAAAATGAATAAGGTTTTAATTATTTAATAAACTGTTTTTGTTTGCAAATTTTGTACAAGATTATTTACAAAAAATAAGGAAATTCTACTATAAATTCTACTTATAATGAAATAGGTAGGATTTTTAGACTTCAATTTCCGAAACATTGTTTTCCTGCATTTTTTCTAATTTCATTTTAACTTGACGCTCTTCAAGAGCTGAATTATAACTCTCTTGGGTTAATAGTTTTTTCTTTAAATCGTCGATAAGTCGAATATTTGGCAGGACAATTGCTAAATAACCGCCTTTATGGGGCGGTTCCAATAAAAGCGATGGATCCTTCGCTAGGGATTCATTTACTTCCACTAACTTTCCTGTCATGCAACATTTAATCACATGATTCTCGCCATTGGACAATGTTATTGTACAAATTGTGGAATTTTCCTGTAGAGGTTGAGCGCCACGTTTCCCTTTACCCGACACTTGATTCTTCATTCTGTCCAATTTTTCACTCACACGAAAATTTACATTTACAATTGACGATGAATTGTTGTGAAGAATCACGTGACTTGGCGCTAGTGAAATCATACAAATTCGATTACTGTGAACACGAATGCAAACATCGTCGCCTGGCTTTTGAACATCGATTTTATAAAATGAAGTGAAATAACGATCGGTTACGGATGGCCATGGTGTTGATAAATCGACACCGCATAACATTGTGGATGCATCATAATTATCAGGAAAGGGAAATTCGGATTCGTCCATTTTTTCCTCTGGCTGAATTATATTTACTTTTTCCCCATTAATTTGCGAATCACTTGATTTTTCATCGTCGTTAATTAATAATTTCATCTTTTTGCTTATTGGTTCCGTCATTGTGGCAAATTGACTAAAAAAAATTTAATAAACTTATGTCCTGTCAAGACATTTATGGAAAACAAATTTTTCTCTTCTTCTCTGGAGTAATTGAATTTTATTCCTCTTTCTTAAATTCTTCTTTATTCTGGAAAATAAACGTATTAATTTTTTCTCTGTATAAAGTTATTTAAAAAATTTAATTTTAATTACTTAATTAGAAAAATTTACTTTAATTCTAAAATTATAAAAGTTATAAATTAAGGCTAATTAAACGAAAACATTCGGACAATGAATAAAATATTTATTTACTCCAACGTTTCGAAATCTAATTTGACTTTACAGTTTGCAATACGTTTTTACTTAATTTGACAAATTATTTTTATTTTATTGTGAATTATTGTATTGTGAACCGTTATTTATTTAATTATTTATTATCTATGTGTTATTTATTATTTATTTATTGCTTTTATACCAAGACGGATTATTTATTTATGGTATGTTTATTATTTATTTTATTTATTATTATATTATTTTTTATTTTTATTATTTTTTACTATTTATTATTTTTAATTATTATTAAATTTTTATAATTGTATTATTAATTTTTTCATAAATTTAAAATTTTTTTATTAATTTTTAAATTGTTGTTAACTTGTTACTAACTTTATTATTGATTATTTTTCACATTTTAAAATTTTTTTAAATTATTTTTAATAAAAATTGACTAAAAAATAATCATTTTTATAAATATTTATTAGTTTAATAATTCATTTTCGTATTTCGAGGATTCTTTTCGATCGGAAGAAGTTCACTTTCCACCCGAATGCAACTTGCACTTTTTGTTACTTAGAGGATTCATTGTTTCACATATTATTTTCATGCCCGGCCTGCGATCATTTATTTGCTCCCATCATAAAGAATGAGTGTAATAACCTCTCTTCACTGGACAAATGGTTAAATGTTTTGTCATCGAATAACCCACTTGTAATTAAGAAATTTGTTAATTGTTTTGTTAAAGTCTTAGATTCTCGTATACTCTATAATAATGCTTGACTGTTCTCTTGACGCGTCTTCTTTTTCTTATTTTTTATATACTATACGCAACTCCCTTGTAATCACATTTATATGTGTTGTAAACAAGTGAAATAAATAAAATAAATAAATAATTCATTTTCTAATTTTATGAATTATCAATTTATTTATTAACGAAACAGATTGAAGTCATGAAGGAAGACAAAATAATAAAGAATTTTAATTTTAAAATCAATTAAGAATTTTCAAATTCTAAACATTTTTAAAGAAATTAGAAAACAAAAAAAAGTTCCTTGATTATCAAAATAATTATTTTAAAGTAAAAATAAAAAATAAATAAAATGTTTACAGAATTTAGTATAGAAATAAATAATTATATTTATAGGTTATGTAGCCTTTAAAAAAATACTTTATGAACGTTAATTAATTTGTAATAAAGAGAAATAATTAAAATTTACCAGTTTTCAGATGTTTTTCGATAATTTATGAATTATTATTCGACAAAAAGAAGACTAATCATTGAGTTTGATTAACAATAATTATAAAGAAAATATCCAAAATATAATACATGTGATCAACAAATGTAAAATAACTCAAAATTTACCGGAGGTTTATTTGTTGCACGCAGGGTTCGGGAATTCGGGAAATACTTTAATCAATAACAAAATTTTGTCAACAAATCGGTAGTAGAATAATTTTGCCCAATCAGACGATTGAATTTATAGAACTCATTTTTTGATTGGTCAAATCTATTTGCTGTGATTTTACCTTTAGGGTATGATCACATGTTGCCTTGAGGTTCCCATCCCTGCATGAGCGGTTCACACACACTGACAGTGACACACACACAGTAGGTGTTTTTTTGATGTGAAAATAAACATGGCATCTTTAATTGGTTTTCCTCGACTTTTTTCATTTGGCATTAGTAATTGTGTGAAAAGGTTTAACAGTAATTTGCTTCCCACACAAAATTTGCCAGGTTTGATTATTTCTTTCAAAAATTTTTTAAATTATTTATGTACATTCTTCGGTTTGTTTATGTCGTCTTTTTATAACCTCACTTTTTTGTTTCTATAAAAATTAAAAATTGGAAAATATTTTTAAATATTTAAATTGAAGACAAAAAAATTTGAGACAATTTATTATTAGTATAGTAAACTGTTAATTTTTTATTATTACGTTTAAAAGTAACTTTTTTTGAAAAAATGTGTTTTTTCCTTTTAATAAAAATGGTCATTCCACGTGAAATTCGTTTAAAAAATCAGAACTTTTTGATTGTAACAATTAAAAAAAATTTTTTTTATATAGAAAAATATTTTTAAATATTAAAATTGAAGTTAAGTATAAAAAATTAAGAGACAATTTATTATTATTAGTAGTATTGTTAATTTTTTTATTATATATTTACATTTAAAAGGAACTATTTTTTTTAAATAAATGTGTTTTTCTTTTTAATAAAAATGGTCATTCCACGTGAAATTCGTTTAAAAAATGTTTTTTGATTACAATTTTTATTTTTTTTATTTTTTTGCTATAAACATAAAAATATTAATTATAAATTTTGCATATTTTAATTGAATGTCCTGCTTTTAGTCAAGAGAAAAAAATGTTTTTAAATGTATCAACAGATTTGTATGGGTTCGAAAATATTTTGTTCAAAATTTTATGTAATTAAAATTTCTATTTTATTAATAAATATTATTATTTAACATTTTAATTTTACTTTAAACTAACAATAATCAAGTTTTTATATATTAGAAAAAAAGCATTTTTCTATTATAAATGGTTTAAAATAAAAGAGTATTTACTTTTATTATATTTTTATATATAAATTAAATAAATATAAAATAAATAATAATTAATAAATTTTTACATAAAATTTCTAACAGTTCACAGATTGAGTAACACGCAAATTGTTAGATTAAAACACTATCTGCCTTGGTTTACGGACCGCGTACAATATAAACCAATAGTACCTAATTTAACAGAAGAAGACGAACAACTTGCAACTGGTAATTATTTAAATACAATTAAAAATATATTTTTTTTAAAAAATCAATTATAAATATTTAAGTATCGATTTTAATAAAATTTTCTAAATTTTTTTTTTATTTAACAAAAATAAAACAGATGTAATAAAGGAGATTAACAATCAAATTGCAACTGAGAAGGCTGGTCGACTTTTTGCTGTGGTACAAATTTGTGGTAAACAATTTAAAGTAACGACAAATGATATTATTGTCATTCAAGGCTATTGGCCACCTAATGCCGGCGATGAATTGAAACTTGAAAAAGTATTACTCGTTGGCAGTAAGGATTTTACTTTAGTTGGACGACCAATTCTTAATAATGAATTGGTTAATATTGACGCCACTGTTATTGAAAAAACATTTTCAACAACCAAAACACATTTTAGATTTCAACCAAGAAAACAGTTTCGTAGAATTCATTGTAAGTCTAATTAATATATATTTGAAAGTTTTAAGTTTTACATATTTGTTATTTTAAAATCTTACAAGGGTTCAAAATAAATTCTTTTTGACTAAATTAAATATTTATATTTTAAAATAATTTATATCGTTGATAGTCATATTTATTTAACAACATCAAATTCTTTAAATTTATTTTTGAAATAAATGTTTTCTTAAGACTTAATAATAATACAAACTTAAAATTCAAAATTTGACTAGGACCCAAAAGTAATGTGTAAAAAATATATTATCCCGCAATGTACTTAAATTAAAATTAATATAAATTATAATATTAATTCTTATATATTAAATAACAATATAAATATAACTTTTTATTAAATATTAAATTAAAATAATAAATAAAAAATTTAACAATTTTGAAAGTGGAATTTTTAATAATTTAATTTGAGAATTAAAAATTAATTTTTTTTAATAAGGTATAAATTTGATATATTTTAATTTAAAACTAAACTTATTTTTCTTTTCAGTTCTAAGAATTCAACACACAATGCTGAGGATAAAATCGATAAACGTAATGGGAAAAGTAGGAGAGGTGAAGGAATTCGAGGGTCTCGACAAAGTCTTTTAATTATTATTATTATCATCATTATCCTGTATAGAAAACCAATTTATAATGTAATGTTTTATATAAAGAATTCTTGTTAAAAATCATTTTTAAGCTAATTTTTCTTATCAATAATTATTATAATTTATTTTGCAATTTTTCATATAGCTTTTTGTAGAAATTAAATAATTGTGCTAATGAAGTAAATCCTTTATTACAATAAATTTATTAATAAAAACTTTTTAATAAAATGAAATTAATAATGAAAAAAAACTAATAACAACAAAACTCGTTTTTGAATTTAGCGCTAAATGTCATATACAAATACTTGTGAAATAAAAAAAAATAAAGTTGAAAAAAGTCTGATATTTAAAATTATTCAAATGAGTCTATTGTTTAAAATTATATTTATCTTATCGTTAATACTGTCAAGGAAAAAATTCCAACTTTTCTGTTCAATTCTTTGTTTTTAATATAATATACAATTATGTGGAATAGATTTTAAAAATGGCGCCGAAGGGAAACAACACCTGATAAAATTTAGCCTTGTGTCCACAATATATTTTTTCTAACATTCTAACCGTAAAGACAATTTATTCTAGTCACAAGTGTTATGAACATGAAGAGAAAAAATTTACGACTCCCCTCTCTTATTGTTAAAAAAAATCAGTCATAGTTGCATTCAATAGATATGAAAAAGAACAATTTGTCACTATAACAAAATTCAGTGAGTATTGACTTCTGTATATTTATATTCATCGTCTGCTACATTGTTTTATTTTGAATTATCTTTTATCATGTGAATCATAATGCAAATTGTTTGTTGTGTTATAAATTTTACCGGCTTATGACATTTATTATATTTACGTTATCTGAGCTTTATTTATTTCGAATTTTCTATTGACATTCTTATCTTTTTTTATTATATAATTTCAAGGTTAGTTTCATTTTGAATAAATCGAAATAATATCTTTTTGAATATAATATTTTATTTATTTATATTTTTTAATAATAAATTTTATTTTAAAAATTTTTGTTTTTAAGTTGTTAATCTTTTTGCAGGCATTATGATTAAAATGGGTTAAAAAATAAAAAAGTTTTATAATTTTCAATGAAAATGCGAGAAAAAAAATATTAAATATAAAAAATATTAAGAGGATCAAAATTTTGAATTTAAAAAAAAATTATCTGTAAAATGTATATAAATTTACGTACATTTTTAAGATATCTCATTTTTGAATTGTAATTTATTTATAATGACAAATAAAAGGATAAAAATAGTTTTAAAATTACAATAATAATAACTAAAATAAAATTATTGATTTTTGTATCGTATACTGTAAGAAATGTTATATTTGGGGAAAAGACTATAGTTAAAATTTCAGTCCATCAATTTTTGCGTTATTTAGAGGTTAACTTATTTTTACCAAATATTTAAAAAAATAAATATATATATTTAAAATTTTCTATAATTTTATCTCTATTATCTTTTGTTTATGTAATTTTTTAGTTAATTTGGAAAATATAAATTTTTAAGGTGGCAGAGGTTTTTGGTAATAAATTGCTTTTTTATAGAGACATCTTTATTTAGACTTTTAACAATGGTACGCAAATTAGTTTATAATTATGAGATTGCAAGCTATAACTTTATTTTCGGCTATATATTTCATTTATCATTGTAATATTAATTATAAAGTATACGAAAAAGACAATTTATTTATTTATTTTATATATCCTATATTAAAACACAAATACTTCGAAAATAATATTTCATAATTAAATAATAAATAAATTAAATAATATTTAATAATAAGTAAATAAACTTGTTTTCTAAACAATAAAATATGAAATTATTGTTAAACAATTATTAGTTGATAACGTATGAGATTAATATTTTTCGAAGTATATATACACATGACATTCACAACAAAAATTGTATATAAGAAATTTATGTAATATTTAAAATTCTTTATCACATCGGAATATTGAAGTTGACACCCGAAGCGAAATAAATCACAAGTTTACTAATTTTTAAAACTTCCTATTTCAATAAAAACACATTATATTTTCCACCAAATTTTTTTCTTTTGTACGTGAAAAACAGTTTTTTTTATTTTTAATTTGTAAATAATAAATCTACGTTAAAGGAAATGAATTTATCATTCGGTGATTAAATATTAAATTTGAAGAAGTTAACAATTTTTTTTTTAACTTCTTCAAATTTAATAAATCTACGTGTTACGATCGACTTCGTAACTAAATATCCCTTCATCGTGATAACAAAATATCATACGTATTAGAGAAAATTGATAATGAATTCTTAAAGTGAAGAATAATAAAGGCTCTAAGTGAGAAATCGTGTTAAGAAAATTGATTTAAAATAAATGTCAGTGAAGTACGAATAAATCGATAAATGAAAAATGATGTATTGAAGAAAACGGATTATAAGAAGTTTAAAAGGAATAATGTCAAATAACGAATAGGTGAGTTAGTTGTTTACATACACTCAAATAATATTTCACACACACAAATATTATATATTTGAAAAGATAGAGATTGTGTTAGAATCATACACGTATTAAACACAAATAATTATATATTATCGTTGTAAACTAAAGATATTACAGAGAATAAAAAAGGGATAAGTTCATATGCATATTAGAAGGTTTTAAAGAGAAGAACAATACATTATAATTATTTGTAATTCTATTAACTTCATTTAATACATCAGTAAGTCCTAAGAATACCTAAGTCCGATCATTTCTTAAAAAAATATTCTATCATATTGGATTGGTATTTTGAATTTTGGAAAAGTGGCCTTATTTTCGTCCGCCATCTTGATTATGTTAATAATTTTTTATACCTGCGAGGATTCGAGGACGCTATATATATATATGGAGTTTTTAAGTTAATTCTTTTTTCGTTTTCATTTGAAAAATATATTTTAATGTATTTGCTTGCAAGAAATCGTTTTTATATTTATTTAGTCAGAATTTTGTTATGTAGACATATGGAGTTATAAATGAAGAAAATCTATAATTTTAGTTTGATTTTCCATAATATTTATATCTTTCAGCGATTATGTTCTTTACAATAAACTTTTATCTGATTGATCGTCACATATGTGATAACCTGATTTTATCAATATTGACGTATTGTTTAAGTCTCTCGTTCGTTGCAGATAGTTAAAGATCCAGTTTTTCTTCAAATTGATATTAAAACAACTATTTTGATTATAAAAATCCTTAGTGAACGTAATTGCTCTTCAGAAACAATGAATTATTTAAATCAAGAATACTACTTAAAATGTTTATTGTTTTCTTTTTGCAGAGATGCCGGAACACGTGGAATTACAACATTTAGTCGACGGCGATATAGAACGTCACAATAAGTCGACAATATTTCGAAAAAAATTTTATCCCAAATGTAAAACTTGTCCGTACTTGGGATTGGTTTTGGCGACAGTATCGTCATTGTTTTTTTCCCTTTGCAGTGTTATTGTAAAGGGTTTAGTAGATATAAATCCCATGGAACTAGCTGCCTTTAGATTTGTTGGCGTTTTACTACCGACAATTCCAATTTTAATTTACAAAGGTGAACATCCATTTCCACGAGGGAGAAGATTTATGCTGATTTTACGAAGTTTTGTTGGAACCACGGGTCTTATGCTCAGCTTTTATGCCTTCCGGTAAGTAAAGTTATTATAATTTAATTTCCATTTTGTCCAAATTTTACAAGTCGAAACTTCGATTATTAGAGTTGGACTATAATTCCACATTGACTAAATAAATTAAAGTAAATAATAAACAAATTTAGAATGATCATGTAGTTTGGATTATCGAGGTCTCTATGGAAAATATATAGTTTGGGATGACGATGATTATAAAGATCTGGTTTATCTGAAACTCAAGACCTCAGTGATCATTTAGATGATTTTTATTATTATCTTTCGATGAGAGAATATAATTAAGATTTATGACATAGATGATATTAATTTTACAGGCACATGCCCTTGGCTGACGCTTCGGTTGTCGTCTTTTCAGTACCTGTCTTCGTGGCCATATTTGCAAGAATATTTTTAAAGGAACCTTGCGGTTTATTTAATGTTATTACTGTTTGTTTGACGCTAATTGGTGTGATTCTAATTACGAGGCCGCCATTAATTTTCGGCCATACTGTTGAATCTCTCTCCGACTCGCAAATTGAAACAGACATTCCCGATGTTTGGGGAGCGATTGCAGCTTTTTCAGCAACAATATTTGGCGCTAACGCTTACGTTCTACTTCGTGCTTTAAAGGGCCTTCATTTTTCAGTGATTATGACAAATTTCGGTTCGTTTGCACTAATACAAACTGTCATGTATTCCTGGTTAATTGGCGCACTCTGTTTACCCCGTTGTGGAACAGATAGACTCCTCGTTGTTGCGCTGGCATTTTTTAGTTTCGGCGGACAAATTCTTCTCACATTAGCCCTTCAAATGGAACAGGCTGGACCTGTTGCAATTGCTAGGTCAGCGGACATTGTTTTTGCCTTTTTATGGCAAGTGTTATTCTTCAACGAAATACCAAATAAGTATTCAATCGGAGGCGCTATTCTAGTCACGAGCTCAGTACTTTTAACGGGCCTGAGAAAATGGGCCATATCCCTACCCGAAAATTCCACATTAAAAAAATCACTCGGAATATTAGCAATGTAGAAATGAGAAAAATTTCGCTTCTGAGCTCAAATCTCTAAATAATAAAAATAATGAGGCTCTCCATTTTTTTTTTTGGAAAATATATTTATTACTATGTTTAGCGGTCAGTGCAATACGACTGAAGCAAATGTTTTGCATTTGATATTTTTTTTATCCATAGACTGTGTGAAGAGAATATTATAAAACTCTTAAAATCTCCTATATACTAAATCTACGAGTTTTAGAGCAAACCTTCGAACTAAGTGTATTAGTTTGAAATTGAAGATTTGTTCTGAACTTTTTCGACGAATTAATGTAATCCTTATGATACTAAAAATCTTAAGAATCTTTTTATTGGCGTAGTCTAAAATAAAATGTAGAATTTTGGGGCAACGTAAAAATTTAAACAGTTTGGCTTGTTATTAGATCTACTAAATACAACTTTGTAATTGTCGAAAAGTCAGGTAATAATTAGGAGTCTTATTTTTATATTTACTACTATCACAAAGATATTAATTTTTGTTCTTTAAATATTACTCTTCTCCTTTTAAGAATTTTATGACTTTTTACGATTTTTAATAGAATTATAGTAGAAAAAGCAATTTGATAATTTTTGTAGGGTGAATACAGATAATTTCTGATTGTATTACTTCTGGCTTTTACTCTACATAATTTATATACAAGTATATTATGCACCATAAAAGTAAAACTCTTTCAAAAATATTTCCTTTCAAGGAACACTTAATTGCAGGAATAATTTGTGCAAAACGTGATGTACTTTATATAAAATGAGTATTATTTTCTAGGTTTTAAAAGTTTTTATTCCTAGTCCAGAATAATGTTTTCTCTCTATTCAATCTCTTCCACAAAAAGAAACCCTTTAGCCATGTAGGGGATAATGATGCTTGTATTGTTGATAAATCTATAAGCAAAATTTATCTGATAAATGTAAATTATACAAGCGCTTCCAGCAGATTTTCTTGTTGTGAAAAGCTTTTCAGGTCTGTATCAATCTCTGATAAATAATCTTCTAGACGTCACAAGAATTCAAAAAGCATTTCTGAAAACTGACTTGAAATTGGACTGATTGATCTCACTGTTTGTGCTTCCTTTTCTGTTATCGATTTATCCACTTCCATGTTGATTTTCGCCCCAAGCTAATCGCTTGATGATTATCAAGTACACGCTAGCTTCAACAAAACATGTACAGTAAACCATGAAAATAATACTCACGTTATATAAAAAATGTATTATTTCTCAATAATCAATATCGAACTATTTGGAGATTTTTCTTAATTTAATCAATAGAAAAATATTCGTAAGATTGAATTAACAAAATAATTTATTTAGAGATTTGTTTTTCTAGTATTCAATTTTTCAAAAGGTTTTAAATAAAAATTTTAAACAATTCTTAAAAATTATTTTCTTATCCTTCCTTTTTATCCTGAGAATTAACTAAGCACAACTGTTAAGCTCAGGGGAAACATGCCGAACTTTCATCCTCGGGTGTACGCGAGCACAGTCCTATAAAACTAATGTATAAGCAGGTGTGGTCAGATTAATTAATCGCTACTCAAAGTGATAGCACGATTAGTATATTGTCTTCCAAAAAGGCTGAGTGAAGAATTGGAAGGACTGATTATCTCCATTTTTTTGTATTTTTCCTTGTTAAATAAATAAAGTAGAGTTGGCTCTCAGTTGAGTAACCAACTCTTTTAAAAATTATAATATCAGTTATTTTTTACGGCGACAACATAATTGTTGGTGGCGGTGGGAGATTTAAAATTGTTTTGGAAATTCATCCAGATTTTGAGTATCTAGAACCCAGAGCTACTTCCAGATAAACAAAGTGATTATCCAAAGTGAACGAGAGAATCAACAAAAAAGCAGATATCCAGAGTAATCCAGAGAGTTATCCAGATCTACGAAGTGTTATCCAGAGTGTTAATTAAGCATATACTAAAAAAAAAATAAAAAATTGAAAATCAGGCCATAAGTCAACCTCTATTATTTATAATTAATGATTTAATTATTTATTTTATATCTATTATCAAGAGTTTTCAAAAAATTCTTAGTATAATATTTCCACCACATTATTAAATTCAAACTTTTATATCAGTATTTTTTCATTCGAACGGGTAGATGATCCTGATTGTCATTGTAACGTTCGAAATCGTAACTATTTTTAATTTTTTTATTCAAATCTTTTTAAAATTATAAAATTATATAGTCTAAAAATTGGAAATTATGTATTTAATTTAAGTACACTATACATAAATGAAAAAAACACTAAGGAACTATATTTAATCCACTCGTCAAATTTATTATTTCTAAATATCACTAATTCTTAAAAAAGAAATAGGTACTTTAAATAGCTTTCCTTAGTTTCACAAAAATTACTAAAATATTATTAAAAAAAACTAGATTAAAAATAATGGCAAGGAGTAAAATTACGCCATTTATCAAGGAATTTGCAAGCTTGCAAAAAGCTTCCTTGGTAACAATAAGTTGTCGGGCCGTGTGTATAAGTTTCTCCCACCTCTAATAATTTGAGTCGATTTCGAGGGTGTGACCGATGTCACAGGTGGAATAATCGAGGAGTCTTAATAATCATTGTTACGTTCAAATTCGTCACCTATTTATTTTTTTAGAAACAACGATTTTTATTTTAATTATATAAAATCCATTCAATCATTTTTGTAACCTAAAAACGCAATCAACATTCTTACACAAAACACATATTTATTGTCAATATTCAAAAATTCCAACATTAAGCAAATTCTTAACAACCTACTTTTAATCGTTTATTTAGCACAAAGAATCAAGTAAAGTACAATTTTCTTTATTTTAATATTGCAAGGTAAGGTTTCCTTTAGTTAATTTCAATTATTTCACAATAACGAAGTGGTTCAATTTTAATTTTCGCAAGTTCCAAATTCTGCAAGTCGTCGTAATTTCGCTTAGTAATAACTAAGTGCAATAAACTGTATTGAGGATTTTTCCCACCTAATTGTCACTCAATAAAAAGAATTGACAAGGGGAAATCTGGGCAGTTTAATTCATGCAAAGTGACCTGAACGATTATATATTTTAGTCATATAGACTTGAGAATTTTGTCATTTTGTGAATCAAAGGGTGTAGTCCCTATTTATTGTGCAAAAGAAAATAAATATTGAATAGAGATTATATTCATTTCAACGAATACCAAGATTGAAAACAAACGAAAATTGAAGGACAATTGCTGCGATTTTAAAATAAAGAAAAGGAAAAACAAACGATTAAAAGTGAGTAGAGAATTTCACATTGCACCTACACATACAAAACAATTTCAAAGCATACATGAATTTTCATATGTTGATTTTATAAGATTTTTCTGAAAACGAATATCTATTTTTCTCTTCCTTGAAATTTATATTTTTTAATAGAACATATATATTGTAATTTGAAAAATTAAAAGTCAATAAAATATATGTATATTTTATAATTAAATAAATATTAACTTAATACCAATTTCTATTTTTATTAATTGTAACCATACAATTGAAATAAATAATTGTAAGAGAGGAAAAGTCCCCTACCTTTCAAATATTTTTGCTGAAGAGCATTATTAGTTATCTTGATTGGATTTAAACTAAAAGTAAGATAATTTCTTTGTTAAGAATGAATTTATTTATTATTTAATAAATATTAAATATTTAAATTATTTCACCCCGTAGTGAACGTCAATGCTCTAAGGAAACAAATAATTTTATTTAAAGGCAGTGGATTCCTTTTCATTCTTGGTTATCATTTCAACCAATCGGGTGAGAGACCGTATTTTGGAAAGGAATGAATTTATTAATAGGATAATCTAATTTTTAAATAAAATCAGCAATAAAATAATATTAAATGACAAACTTTTATTATATATTGAAAACAATCGTTTATGATAATGAATTGTGTATGTGTACTTTTTGCGTTTGCGTATTCAGTATACTCACTTTAACTGTGTTGTAGTGTCTGGAACCTTACATCAAGATTTATTTTATTATTATCTTTTTAATTTTTTTAAATATTTTTCACATATAAAAATACTATGTCAATTACTCTTTTTAAATCACTCAATGAAAATCTCTGGAGTCCCTTCTTGAGACGTAAAGGCAACTTTTGCCTAGCTTCGGCTACTATGGCCAAACATACTTTGTTTCGCCAAGATTCACGGGCAACTGCCATGATTTCCCTTTGTCGATTCTTTTTATTGAACGACATTTTGGTGGGAAAGACCTACTTATTATTAAGTTATTACTTAATGATTATCTGCTACCTTGCAGATTTGTTTGAATGTCATTACCCAAGTTCTGTTGCTTGGATGAACCACTTTTTACATTGAGAAATATCGTAAGTAAATTCTACTTACTCTTAAAGAATATTTGACACAGTTTTGCACATTATAAAGTATCACAATCTTCATTTCATTATTTAGATCTTAATACAAAATTCCTTACTGAATGTTGTAATATGTGTGTTACAAAGTGTCATCATGTGTTAAAAGTGTGATTGTTACCTCATAAATCGACATGAATAAATGCTTATTGAGTTCATTTAAATACAATATGTTTTTTACTAAAAATATAAAAATGTTACGAAGTCATAATTAACCATTTAGAAGAAAAAATAATTTTCTATTCAAACTTTTGTCTTAATAAAACTTTTACAATGTTTCTTGAACAAAAAGTTAAAAAAGGATAATTTGGTAAACGTAAATATTCTTTTCTGAGTGAAAAACAGTTTTTTTTCCTTCAAATCGTTGATGACAAACGTGAATACTTCTTCCACGTCATTTATAAGTGTAATCAAATAAAATTTAAGGAATGTATTTTTTATTATGTCGATTCTTAAAACCTGGAAAAAAATTTTAGAAGGCCTGGAAAACCTGGAAATGTCAGGGAAATTTTTTTCAGATTAGTTGTAGACACCCTGCTATTTACATGAAAATAGGATTTATCATTTCTAGTTATCTCTTACTATTAAAAGTATAAAAAAATCTCTATTGGTAATTTTCTTTATGATTTTTTAGATGTTTAAGAAACTTTCTAAAGAATATTACTCATTATTTAGTATTGGTAATCTTTGTTACGTTCAAATCGTAACTATTTTAATTTATTTAAATATTTTTTTTTAATTTTATTAATATTATATAGAATCTAAAATGGGTAAACTTGTTAATTTAAATTAAGTAACACATACACATAAAATAGGGTTAAAAGAATTCTTTATATGATCTTCTCTTCAATTGATTACTTATATTATCGAATTTTTTTATTTATTATATCTAAACTTGAGAAAATTCGAAATTAAATATTTTTCAATAGTTTTTACCTAAATATTGGGTGATTAGGGAATACAAAATAAATGTTATCAAGTATGGAAATCGTCTACAACCCTTGGGAATTTACCGACTCCCTTAAATTAAAAAGATATTTCTCTAAAGAAAGGATTTTTTTTAAATAATATTGTGGAGAATGTCTAAATTGAATGCACATTGGCGAAACAGGATATAAAGTATCAAACTATATCACGCCATTCTTGAGGAATTTGCAAGTTTGCTAAAAGCTTGCTTGGCAACAGCCAGGTTTGGTGAGCCGTGTGCGACGGATTCTCCCAGTTAACCGATTTAAGTCGATTTTCCAGGGTGTGACCGATTGTCCACGCTAATTAATCGAAGAGTTTGAATTAGTATTTCCAGCAGAGCGGACGTTACCATTTTTTTATATTTTGTGATTTATTCCCGCAAAAAGGCGGAGGTTTTTGTATTTTATTTCCCCGAGTTTAAGGGTTGATTTTATATAATTTGAATTAATTGAATTTAATTAATTACTGTTGTGAAAATATATAATATTCAGTGAAATAATAATAATTCAAAGTTGATTGTTGAAGATTATAATTGAAATAAAGTGATTTATTTAAAAATAAAAATATTAAAGAAAATATCAAAGAAGCTATTTGAGATAATTAGAATTAAAAGTGAAAATATTTGAGAATACAATTTGTGCGAAGAGTAGAGTGAATTTAATAAAGATTATTAACAAAAAAAAAGAGAATTTTAGAAGCAAAAAGAAATAAAAATATTGAACCTCAGTTTCTTTGCGGTTTGAAGATTTACTTCCCTCATTCTACATTTAATAAAGAATTTCAGAATTAATTACAAATTTAAAATTTGGTGACCCCAAAATTTTAAATATTAAAATTAATTTTTATTTTTAAAATAAAAAGAATTTATTTAAAGACCATTGAAAGAAGAGCATAAAAGATAAACTAAAAAAGGAAGTAAAAGTGAATACGAGAACACTATCACAGGTGTAACTAGAAGTCATAGTAATAACTAATAAGAGACTTTTCTGTCTCTAGTAAAAAGAGGAATATAAATTTTA